ACTTCGGTCGACGGAGCGGTGTGTGGATAGAAAGCCGACGTCGCGTATCCACTTCGGTCGGCAGAGCGGTATCGGGGAAAGGATGTCGACGTCTCGTATCCACTTCGGTCGACGGAGCGGTGTGTGGATAGAAAGCCGACGTCGCGTATCCACTTCGGTCGGCAGAGCGGTATCGGGGAAAGGATGTCGACGTCTCGTATCCACTTCGGTCGACGGAGCGGTGTGTGGATAGAAAGCCGACGTCGCGTATCCACTTCGGTCGGCAGAGCGGTATCGGGGAAAGGATGTCGACGTCTCGTATCCACTTCGGTCGACGGAGCGGTGTGTGGATAGAAAGCCGACGTCGCGTATCCACTTCGGTCGGCAGAGCGGTATCGGGGAAAGGATGTCGACGTCTCGTATCCACTTCGGTCGACGGAGCGGTGTGTGGATAGAAAGCCGACGTCGCGTATCCACTTCGGTCGGCAGAGCGGTATCGGAGAGAGGATGTCGACGTTGCGTATCCACTTCGGTCGACGGAATGTCTAGGATCTCTAGGAATTTCGAGTTCTGGTCGGTCGTGCGCCTGAGAGGAGCTTTCTGATCAATCTCTCTCGATATCGTTTTCGTGTCGGCTTTTATACTAATTTGCAACAAACAGAGCGGCTGTTTGTTGACCTTGCGGTTATTCCGCGCGTGGATGTTCGGCGTTTCTTTGTTAATAATCTAAATAACGTTTCTATTGTCGTGACGATTTCCCGGATCGTCATAACTTTGACCTGATCTTAGCAACACCGCTCAAGGTCAAATTACTAATATCACCAAATATATCATTTTATATCCTATAATTAATATATTTTGAAAGTGTTACATGTACAGATTATTTGTCCAATACTTCATATTAGGTGTTCCGGTTAGTTTTGAGGATTCACTGTAGATGGCTATAGCTGCTGGAAATATTTTGAAAATGGGTATGTCATGACAAAGCTAGGACATCTCTACAAACAAATTGACACATGTCCTGTTCACTCGTAAACATAAACATACTGCTTAATGCGACTAAACATGGAACGTGATAAAGAGCATTTTCGACATCTATCACTTTACTGCTTTGATTAGAAGAAAACAGCTGCCGAGGCTCACCGATTCATCTCAGGAACTTATTCTGGGTCTGCTCCATCAGTTAAAACGTATGAGTTCTGGTATCGACGATTTAAAAGTGATGATTTAGATTTGAAAGACGTTCAGGTCAACCAAAAAAATTTAAAGAATAATATTTGTTCACTAAATGCCTTTGTTGCAAAACTGATACAACGAGCGATCAAGAACCACTTTAAATACGTTTTAAAGCGGTGCATAATAATAATAGTATAAATAAGACTCTCCTAATTTTCATCTATGCCAAATTACAGGCATTGTGAAATAAAAACTCAGCTCAAACACTTCAAGAATTAGATACAACATTAAATGTTGGTAAATCAACCGTTTCTGATCGTTTACACGTAGTGGAAAAAGTTAAAAAAGAAGATAAATGGGTTCCACACGAATTGTCTGAATTGGTTATTCAAAATCGTTTAACTATTTGTACTTCATTGCTTTCTCGTCACAAAATGAAACAATTTTTATATCAAATTGTAACTGGCAATGAAAAATAGATATACTATGATAATCCTAATCGTAAAAGATCGTGGGTAGATCCAGGCCAACCGTCGACATCGATTCCAAAACGCAATACCTATTGAAGTAAGATTTGTTGTGCATTTGGTGAGACATGAAGGGCATCGTGTATTATGAGCTGCTGAAACCGAATCAAACAGTTACTACTGAGCTTTATCAATGACAATTAATCGATTTGAATCATGCTTTGAACGAGAAACGTCAAATAACAGCTCAAAGAAAACGCAACGTGATTTTGTTGCATGACAATGCTCGACCACACATTGCAAAAGCAGTTAAAGATACCTTATCGGAATTCCAATGGGAAGTCTTACCACACCCCGCGTAGTCTTCAGACTCCTCTTCAGATTATTACTTATTTCGATCGATGCAGCATCATCCCTTACTGACCAGCACTTCAAAACATATAATGCAATAAAGAAATGGCTCGATGAATGGATTGCTTCGAAAGACGAACATTTCTTTTAGCGCGGAATCCACTTATTGCCAAAAAAGTTGGAAAAAGTTGTAGCTAACGGTGCAAAATATTTTGATTAAAATAATTTAATGTCTCTCTAAAATATACGTGTTTCTTTTTTGCACAAAATCTCTCAAAACTAACTGGATAACCTAATATATAATATCATTCATTGTTCACGCTAATAGCTTGCAATCAATGAATAAAACGCTGTCAAAATTCTCGCTATTGCGTATTGCCAATATCGCATGATACGTTTCGGTAATATTCTTCTGTCAAAGAATTTTTACAAAATTTCTACATCTTATATTAACAATATTTTCTAATATGGTGGAGCATTATTTTGCACGGATACGTAGTAATTCATACGTTTTTCCTCAGCACCAATAGCGTGCATTCTTCTCAAAACAATATTTGTCCACTAAATACCTTGCAAAACGACTGATACAACGAGCAACCAAGAACCGCTTTAAATACGTTTAAAATTCTTCCTCCCTCCCATCAACGTAAATCCCTAAAGCAGTGCATAATAATAATAGTATAAATGAAATCCTCCTAATTTTCATCTATATCTACTTCTACTGTACAAATACATTTAATAAAATTATTCAACACATCTCTGATACGGAGCCGTAGATAACCAAACGAATACTCATATATCGATTAAGTGGTTTGTGCTATGGCGCAATACAGTATACTGTATCATTGAAAAAACTTGATTTCCGATATTTATATCAAAAGTCCTATCAGAAATATTTGTGTAATTTTTAAGATCTCTCTTAAACGTTACAATGCAGCATTTTTTATGTTGACATTGATTTGTGGATACGGCAGTAAGATATGCAGAAAATATGAAATAGAATATTATTATAAATGAACACGTGTGAGATGCGCAGAAAATGTGAAACATGATACAATGGTCATGGAGGTATACATATTTAGCACAATTATTAGACTAATCCCCTCGCAAACAAGACACATTTTGTTAGAAAGAGATGGTGATATGCTGATGATATAAAAATATGTCGGTAATAAATTATCGCTGGTAATGTCCGTATATCTCCCACCTGCATGACGTTATATCCGAGTGATGACATCCCCGCGGTTATCCCCATTTCACGATAGGCCTTGCCCTTTTAACTCCCAGTCCACGGTACGTCCCGCCCTTTTTACGCACATCCCGCCGCGTGACATCACTCCCCCAGCGTGACGTCATACTCCCACCACGCGACGTTATAACCTTCTCCTCCGTGACGTCACACCCATGGAACCCTCCCCCTCCCGACCCCCGCAGGACCATAGTTAGAACCGGCCTTATATTTCTACTGACGTCAGTACATACTAAGAAAGCGGATAACAGAATGTTAAAAAGAGTTAAATGGAATGTTTATTTATAACTGTAATGATTATATGTAATATAATCATAGATAATATGATAAACGTTGATTGTATACATGTTATATCTTTTCAACATTATTGCAATCTCCAAGTATCTAAGTTTTTCGTAAATATGTTCTATAAAACATTAAAAACATTTGGAATCATATTATTGAGTAATGTCATAATAATATTACTGTAATGATTTTATATTTATTATGTATATGTCAAGATCGAGAGAAGTATGTGGCGTTGGAAAGAAATATAATCGGTATAATTACCACGAAAAAAATTTCTTTTTATTTTTTTATTTTAAAAATATATTATGATATACACATGTTAGGTGATGAACTTAATTCCTGTCGCGCGCTATTAGAGGGTGCCGGCTCCAACGTTGGCATGTTTCGACGATGAAGTCGCATGTCTTATATAGTTTAGACATTGCTAAAAGCAATTCAGTTTTCACAGCTTAGATTTCTCGACGCCAATGAGATTTTTCAATAGATTGAAAATGAATCGCGATAAGCTGTTTCTCCAACATGTGCTTCTTCACTACTTCGACCTTAAGAAAACTGAAACGCATCGCTTATTATCCAAAGTGTATGGGAAAGAAACTCCATTGGAAAGAACATGTAGACTTTGGTTTGAATGCTTTCGAAACGGTAATTTTGACGTGAGAGACAAAGAACGTTTCGGACAGCCAAAAAATTTGAAAAAGTCGAGTTGTAAGAATTACTCGATGAGGATCCAGCTCAGACGCTTTTAGGGTTGTCGAAAACGTTAAATACTACTCCAATGGCCTCCATCTCAAAACACTTGCTGTATTATGAGTTCTTGTGTCCAAATGAAACCGTTACAGCTAATCGCTGCTAAACCAACAGCAATTATGCCGATTGAGTGAAGAGTTGATACAAAGAAGACATCCATATCCAACAATCGACGCAAAGTCATTCTTTTGCATAATAACACTCGAACGCATGTTGCGAAAAGCTTGAAGCAAACGCTTTTACAGCTTGAATGGGAAGTCCTCCGGTATCCAGTGTACTCTTTAGACATAGCATCGTCGGATTACCATTTTTTCCGGTCGATGCAACACACTTCTACAGTTACGAAAAAGTCCAAAAATGAGTGGATAAACGGATTGCCTCGACACCGCGTTCTACCGTCGTTGGATTGTCCTGTTACCTGAAAGATGGGAAAAAGTAGTAGAAAATGATGGAAATTATTATTTTCATTAAAGTATTCATTCATCTTCCCTTCGAAACAAATCAATTCTGGAGACGAAAAAGCGGCAGGAATTAAGTTTACCATTTAATATGTGTGCATACGCGCACATATATTTACGCGCAGATGCACATACACATTTATATATTTGTATATTTGTAAATAACTTCTCTCTCTTTATCTCTTCTTTTCCCTCTTTTCTTTTTTTGATATTAATTTTCCCTTGTAATAACATTATTAAAAATCAATCATAGAAATATCGCAACATTAATTGTAACAGTTTACAGATTTTACCTTTCATAAATTTGTGATGTTCTTTTCTTATATGATGGTAAAGGTTATACAAACGCTTATGTATACTTGGTACGGTACCGTCATTACCCACGAGGTGAGTATAAATAACTTTTTCAGTTCAATGACTTTTTAATCTTTTCATTATATTTTTGTGAAATTCTGAAACGAAGTATATGTAATATATGGTTTGTCTTTTTTATTGCTAATATATTTCCTTTTATACGGTATAGAGCGAAAACTTCCGTGAAGGAATATATTGCAGTAATTGGCCTCATGTCGCTGGCGAACGGAGCTTAAGGCCGCGAATGATTATAATGCTGATGCAAAAACCGATGATGATTAAAGCATTAAAATTATGTACTTTGTCTGTAGAAATGTTTGTCAATGTGAGTGCTTCGATATTTATGTGCTATTATGTGAAGATATATTAGCTAGAAAGTTCACATGCATGTACATTTGTTTTCTACAAACGTCTTTTTCATTTTCAGGTGATGAATACGACCATCTCTTATTACTTTCTTTTACAAACTCTAAATAAGAGAGGATAAACAGCATAGTCTTTCACTTTACTTTATTAATTATAATCTTAATTAAGTTTTTCTTATCAATGTTTCCAATTAATTTCCAATTATTAATATTTATTTAACGATTTTATGCACCTTACAAAAAATTCACATGAAGTAATATGATATATTCTGTTCCATATTAAATGTCTGTGTGACCAAATTCTTTATGTACATGTATAATTCAACTACATATGCCCAAATCAATGTATCGTAATGCATACAAAAAAAATTATAAGATTCATGGCATGTGTTAGACGCAATCCAATAAATTAATGTATAATACTATGTGAAAATAAGTAAGTAGTAATTTATTTACCATTCAGCTGCAGCCAAGAAAGGGACTTGGTTTACAAAATAAGTTCTTATCACCATCCACACATCCTTTCATCCATTCGTACCTCACTTGCTATGCCTTTTCTTTACTCTTTTTCGCAGGAGTCCTACAGTTACTCTATGCTTAATCTACTATCACTCTATCACAGCCAAACTTCTCTCCTACATCTCTCCTTCTCTGTTTTTCCCTGAAACTTCCTTAATTTTTTCTTTTATTACTTATTTTATATACCTTTACAGCGTTTCCGGAGCGAGTGCGAGTGACTGATGTTTTTGGGACGAGTGAGAAAGAGAGTGAAGGAGAGTAAAAAAAAGTGATTGGGAGTGTGAGGATGAGAGGAGGAAAAAGTGGGGTGAAAGATAGGTGGAAAAGTATAGGTGAGGTGTGAGAAGGTGAGGGAAGGGAATAAAGAAGAGAGAAAAGAGACAGGTGTAGAGAGGTTAGAGGTGTAGATAGGTTAGAATAGATAGGAGAGAGAGGAAAGAAATGAGCAAAAGAAGAGACATCTGGAGAGGTGGATAGAAACTAGGTGAAATAAAGTATGGCAAGAAAAGGAAAACAGAAGAAACAGGAAAAGAAGTGTAGATAAGGGAAGGACAGAGAGTAGGGTTGACTGGGCAAAGAGAGAGAGGAAGAGAAGAGCAAAGGAATGAAGGGACAAATAGAGGAGAATGGGAAAGGTAAAATAATCAAAGGAAAGAGGTAATGGAAGGTGGATGAAAGGAGAGCGAAGGGAGTATAAGTTCGGACGAGGTGTGGAAAAGGAAAAGAGAATCAATAGGAAAGAAGGAAAGGGAAGAGGAAGATGAGCATGACTGGTGTGCATTTAAAAAAGAAAAGAAACTACAAAGATCGCCTCAGAAAAAGAAAAAAACGAAAAGAAATGGAAAAGGGAGGAGGGAGAAAGGGGGAAGAGAGGGGTAGAAGGAGATGATGAAAGGGTTGAGGGAAATAAAAAAAGAGTTAAAGGAAGTAGTTAAGGAAGCGGTGAAGAGTTAGGAGAAAGAGATGAGAGAGGAGATGGAAGCAATGATAAGAAAAATGAGAGAGAGGGAGGAGGAATGGGGAAGAGAGAGAGAGAAAAGAAAAGAGGGGTAGAATAGAGGAGCTTGACAGAAGGTGGAAATAAGGAGCTCTCTCTTGGAAGGAAGAAGAGAAAAGGAAAGGTAACAGAATGGAAGCTAAAGTAAAGGAAATGGAAAGAAAAATGTAGATGAGAGAAAGAAAGGAAAGGAGGAAAAATATATGAGTGAAGGGGTTGAAAGAAGAACTGAAAGAGATGGAGGAAAGAATAAAAAGAGTATAGAGTGTGGTAAGAGTAGGTGAAGAGGTAGATCAGGTAAAGGTGACAAATATAAGAAAGAGGAAGAAAGGAGAGTGTTAGTGAAAACTTTCGAAAGGAAAGAGATAATGATGAGGATGAGAACGAAAATAGGAGGGAAGGAAGTAAGGATGATAATTTGACATGGAGAGAAAGGAAGATGAGGTGGCAGATAAAGGAGATAGCAAGGAAGGAGAGAAGCAGAGGAAGGAGGATATGGGTAGGGTATGGAAAAATACAGATAAAAGAAAAATGGTGGTAGTGGGAGGAAAAAGAGGGGATTAAGGGATAAGAAGGGTGAAGTATAGGAAGGATGGGGAAGAAGAAGTAGGGAGAAGGAGGGGGAGGAAGACAATAAGGGAAGAGGAGGAGGGAGGAGATGGATAAATGGAAAAGGGGGTAAAAGGTAGCATTTCGGAACGTGGCTGGGATGAAAAATGAAGATAAGTTCTAGAAAAAAAATTAGAGAATGGGAGATATTGGTTCTAATGGAAACATGGGTAGATGAGAGGCTGGGAGAGGATGAAAGGGAAAATGCCAAAAGAATATGAGTGGAAAGTGAGGTTAAGAAGGTTAAAGGGGTGAGGCTAATAAGGAAGAAGGTAGCGTCAATAATGAGGGAAGTATGAGGAATAAGAAAGAGAGTGTGGGGAATGGACTGGAAAAGAAGATTGTGGTTATTTGATACATTGGTTTTGACTTATGGGTAATGGGATATGGAATAGAAAGGAGATGAAAGGAGACAAAGGAATTGGAAGGATTACAGTATAGGTTTTTGAGATGGACTATGTGTTTGGACTATAAGATGGCGGGATATATGGTAAGTGAGGAATTGGGCAGAAAGAAGTTAAGAGGAAGGGCAGGGAGGAGGTCAGTGTGGAAATTTTAGGAGAGGTTGGAGGAAGGAAGAGATAACAAGTAGATGCTAGAAAAAGATGAACGGAAAATGGAGTAGGGGCAAAGTAGTGGGAAGGAGAGAAAAGGAGAGAAAGAATGTATGCGGGGGTGGAGAGTGGAGGAGGGGGAGAGAGTAAGAATGAGAGTTTGAAGAGATATTGGAGAAAGAGAGGAAAAACAAAAGGAAGAGAGGTGGGAAAGAATAAGGATATCTGGAGTTAATAAGTGGTATAGGTGGGTGAAGAGGGAGGTGATACCGAAGTATCTGGAAAAAGGATGGTCAAAGAAGAGGTGAAGGAGAGTAATTAGATTTAGGTTGGGGATTGAATTGAGAAAGGGATGATACTGGGAAAAAGAGGAGAAGAAGAAATATAGAATATATGGAGAAGAGGAAAAGACGTAGAAGCATTTTTAGCAAAGATGTTGGAAAGGAGGTATTGGAGAAGTAGAGTTAGCAGGAGATGGTGGAAAATTTGGTGGAGGAGAGAGAGGAATGAATAAAGGAGATGGGGACGAAAAGGGAAAGGGGAAAAAGGAGGAGTATGGGAGTGGGAGGAGGATAAATAATTGAATGCATGTAAGTGAGAAGAGAGAGAGAGAGAGAGAAAGAGAGAGAAAGGCAGGAAGAGAGAGGGGGGGGGGAATGGAAGAAAAGGGACGGGCGGTTAAAGAGAGTGCGTTTTATAAATTAGTAGATAAATTAGATAAATAGATTTAACATAGATTTAAGTTAAATGTAAGTTAGATATAAGTTAGTAATAAGTTAGTAATAAGTGGAATAGAGAGAGGGGGCAGAGAAGAGAACGAGGTATGTGTGTGTGTGTGTGTGTGTGTGTGTGTGTGTGTGTGTGTGTGTGTGTGTGTGTGTGTGTGTGTGTGTGTGTGTGTGTGTGTGTGTGTGTGTGTGTGTGTGTGTGTGTGTGTGTGTGTGTGTGTGTGTGTGTGTGTGTGTGTGTGTGTGTGTGTGTGTGTGTGTGTGTGTGTGTGTGTGTGTGTGTGTGTGTGTGTGTGTGTGTGTGTGTGTGTGTGTGTGTGTGTGTGTGTGTGTGTGTGTGTGTGTGTGTGTGTGTGTGTGTGTGTGTGTGTGTGTGTGTGTGTGTGTGTGTGTGTGTGTGTGTGTGTGTGTGTGTGTGTGTGTGTGTGTGTGTGTGTGTGTGTGTGTGTGTGTGTGTGTGTGTGTGTGTGTGTGTGTGTGTGTGTGTGTGTGTGTGTGTGTGTGTGTGTGTGTGTGTGTGTGTGTGTGTGTGTGTGTGTGTGTGTGTGTGTGTGTGTGTGTGTGTGTGTGTGTGTGTGTGTGTGTGTGTGTGTGTGTGTGTGTGTGTGTGTGTGTGTGTGTGTGTGTGTGTGTGTGTGTGTGTGTGTGTGTGTGTGTGTGTGTGTCTGTCTGTGTGTCTGTCTGTCTGTCTGTCTGTCCGTCTGTCTGTCTATCTGTGCGTACGTGGCTGGTAGGAGCGAATGTAGGAAAAGAGATATTGTAAGAAATTAGATTGTAAAAATAATAATTGTAATCCTATAAGTTATTGATCCTATAGGGGATCAATAGAAGCTTTATATACAGGGTGAGGAAAAAGTATGGAAACCCTGAAAAATCTCAAAAAATATAAGTTTTACAGAAAAATGTTTCAAATAAAAGTTGTATAATTTAAAAAGGTCTATTCAATGGTCTCATCAATTTGACTCTGGCTGGCGTCGTTAAGATGAAGTCAAAGTCACTTTGAATTTTTTAAATGGAACACCCTATTTTTTATTGCATATTCTTATAGCATATCTCGAGAACTTCCCAAAACAATATAATAAAATATTTTTTCGTTAAGAACTTTTCGAGTAATAACACTCGAAATACCAGTACTTTGACATAGTTTTGGCGAAAATAACATCGTACACTCTAGAAGACACTAACGGTTGCCCTCTTCTAGCACTTTAAGCGACGTGTCCGACAGAGGTGAATTTTCACTCACCTCATACGTTCCCATACAGCAGGGTGTCCAAAATATATCATAGAGATATCCTAAAGATATATTTGGGATATGTGATATCTTCAAGATATCCCTATGATGTATTTGGGACATTTCTGCTATGTGGGTTAGTTCTATATTTAATCCAGCAGAACCCGATAACGAACTAGAAATGAATCGTTCGCCCAGCCGAGAAACACACGTTATCAGAAGTGGCGAAATTGATAGGGAAATAGACAGAATGCGAAAGGAGTGCGGGATAAGAACCTCGCGACCAGAACCACGTCAAATTGACGAACGGGCACGGGACATCGCACCCCCCGCCGAGTCAAATGGACTACTCGGGCTCAGCCGCGACAAATTACTACTCGATATAATTAACCAAATGCGGCATCAGATCTGTCACATGACCGAGCAAATAAATGCTCTTAATACGGATAGGCATCTTAACGCGAGACCAGGAAATATGGACATTACGTACGGTCAGACAACAAACTACGTGCGAAACCGACACTCGCGTGCTAACAATTATTTA